ATATTACAAGAAATGTTTAGTTGTTGTGCTAATAGATGTCGCCAGTAACAAACTATATCATTATTTATGTTACCTTACTTCAAACAATAAAACATAATTAAACAATTACTTTACCATTTCAGTAACATATATTTCCAGTCTTTATTTAAATAGGATGTGAACGTTTCCGCTCAACACATTTAATATGGGACTGTTTCCATGCAACACAGTAATTCAGCGTAAGGCTGTTTCCCGAAACACCTTTAACTATTTTCCATGCAGCTCATTTTAACATAAAAGTTTCAGTACAATAAATTTAGCCTAATCAACTACTGGTTTTTCTTTTACAACATTACTTTACTATTGGCACCAGAAATTTTCATTTGGAATAGCGTCTTTTTATATCATCAGCAATTTTTTACTTTCTCCAAATTGCTTTTATTTTGGACCATTATATTTAAAGACAGCACAGATTAAGTGTTCTTCGCAGGGTAATAGTTGCTGTGTACTACTTATTCTTTATTACATCAACAATTTTAAAATAATCTAATGACGAAAAATGTTTCAAACACTTTAATCGAACAGAGATAACGCTGAAACTGAAGTAAATCGTAATAAAATACAGTACTGTCTGTTGAATGTCCATGGAAATACTTCGCAGGGTGTGGATGGATCTTCACCAAAACTGGTATGGAGGTCAATTAGGTACATGTGGGGGTACATACAAATTTTCAGTTTTACATTTTGCTTTTTACTGTTTTTATGGGCATTTATTTGCATTTTCTACAATTACATATAAAGGAAGCAGCTTTTCATGTTCTAAGATAACCTATCATTAATTATAAATTTACATAATTTCCGTCCAGGGGACCGATACTCCATCTTGTAGATCAGTAACATTTATTATCTTTCTATAGATTGTTACTTTCATAAACAGTATTATTTATACAATTTATATGTCAAATGGTATTCTTTATATTTTTATTATACTTTTATTTTGTATTTTTAGCTCGTGTAGCTTTGCGCGAAATTCAAAAACAAACAAACTGTTACAAACGAATCTCAGTCCGGTGTATAAGTAATCACTAGATTTAACTAGTCTGGTAGACAACGTGTTTCTACGATATCTTATTAGAAATGCATGTGCCGTCCATCTTAGAAACGGAACAACCATTCTGAACGCTCTGATCGAATAAATAAGAGGAATTAATTCCTTAAATAGAAATCGAACCGAATGGATCAGCCAAAATGAAGACAAACTGATAAATTTTAAATGACATTCCACCACACGATCGTTTTCCCGCGTTTCCAATGAATGAGATCAAAGAGCCAATGGTAAGTTGACTTACAAACCAAAGTGGTATGTTACATTTAATTTGTTACTTGTTCCGAAAATAGTTATAGCTTGTGACGTTCCAGACATCAGAGGATAAATCACGTTCCAGGACTGGCAAATACGAACCAGTCTAAAGAGCACCTTCTGTGAACGTGGAGTCGTGGACTATACGGCCAGTCGGCCAGGTCAGAAGCTCTTATGGCTCGGATATAGCCGTCTCTAAATTTGAGCTGTTGATCAGATTTAACCCGCCACAAGGGTTTGTCCGGCTTTCTGAGCAAATAATGGTATTGACTGTCACTATTATAACGCATCCAAAGCTTAAAGTGCTGAACGTGTTCAGTAGCAACAAGCCTCGAACCTTAGATCTTTCTATAAGCAGCCCAATGACATTCTAACACTAGACGTCGCCTATCCCTAAACTTAACATTGATAATGTAAGTGAACAAGAGTGAATTCTCAATAGTCGCGGTACTTGAAATTCTTTTAGGAAGGATTAGAGTAAATTAATATAAAAGGCCTTTTTTTTCTATTTGTTAGCTATATTTTGTGCGCAGCAATACCAAATGCGGGGCGTGTATATACCCGATTCGATTTTATTACTTATCAGGGCCCCCCAGTGACACAGCGGTATGTCTGCGGACTTACAACGCTAGAAACCGGGTTTCGATACCCGTGATGAGCAGAGCACAGATAGCCCATTGTGCAGCTTTGTGCTTAATTACAAACAAACAAACAATACTTATCAGGATCTCTACCAGCCTGCCCTCAAATTGAAATTCTTTATTAGCTACATTTTTGTGCGCAGCAGTACCAAGCGTGGGGCACACGTAAACCCGATTCGATTATATTACTCATCAGGATCTCTACCAGCCTACCCTCAAATGGAAATTCTTTTAGACAGGATTGGAGTAAATTAATCTATAAGACCTTGGGCGTGATCAACTACATCAGTCGAAAGAGTTTGACTTCCTGAGTCAAAAACTGTAATTAGATGTCAAATTGGTCAAGGGATGAGGGAGCTATGAGCTAAAAATTTGTACCAGAAAAACTCAGAGATGTTCTATGAGCTAAAAACGCGGTAAAAACATTACGTTATCTATGACTAATTTCTTTAGAATTCACTTGTAGTTCATATTGTCCTTCTACCAAGCTAGTGCTTCCAAGTAACATCACCTGAACATTACCTTTAAATCCAAAACTGGCCGGTTGTTTCCTGCTGGCTAGGGTGCCTCGAATGTAAAACCTAGTATTCATGTTTGGGCCCAATGGTGTGCTATAAGAGTGACTGTCAAATCCTACTGTTCGACCAAGACATGAACTGGCAGTGAGTGCTGTTGACTAGAAAAATTCTTTGTTGACTCTCACTTCAAAATTAGTGATGGCTATGAGCAGATAGCCCTTTGTGTAGTGATGCGCGAAATTCTGAAACAAAACAAAACTAAGATTCCTTGTGTGTTGCATGTAGATCAAGTGATTATTTTTTGGGTGCCAACACCAATAATTCTAAAGTAAAGACACCAAAACCTTGAAAGTGACCTTTGAATCACATTGAAATGTGAAAAATCGTAATAAATATTCTGTACATAGCTAATGAGACAATTTGCCCAAGAAAATATTGCTTTCTTTCTGGAGAATCTACAAAGTAAGTTTGTTTGTTTGTTTTAGAGCAAAATCACACTTGGCCATCTGCTGTGTCCAATGCGGGGAAACCTAACCCTGAATTTTAGCGATGTAGGACCGTAAACTTACTGCTGTCCCATCAGGGTACATAAGAAACTACAAAGGTACTAATAAATGACAACTTTAAAATCCTATGAAAAACAGCCTCACAGTGGCTCAATGGTAAGTTTCACAGCTTACAACGCTAAAATTCAGGTTTTGATATCATAGGTGGGAAGATAAAGATAGCTTTGTACTCAATAACAAACAAACAACGCGTAAATTGATTTTATTCTGGAAAGCTGTGGACAGAATTATTACATCCCATACAAAACTTATTGATACGTCTCTGTTCGTTTGTTAATTTCCCGTAGAAATTCTTCCCGAGAAACTTCAGCGATACAAGTCCTTTCTTAAATAAAACTAGTTTATTCTTTCTCAATACAACTTTGCAATACACTTAATTTCCACAGTCTCTTTTACTTAAACACACGCTATAATTCACAACGAACGATTCACGCATTTTGCTTACTACCGCGCTTGACTCAATTGTCCGTCTCTATCTCTGCCTATCTGCAATTCAATTCCGATTAATTCATTTCGCTTTATCTGGCGCACTTATATGCAAGAATAGAGGGCACGTAGAAAAGACCAGAGTTGCCACGAATAGGCATG